GATTCGGTCTTTTGGATTTATGACCTTTTTTCCACACAAGAAAGTATATAAAAAGAAAATGTTAGCAGTCACATAAGACTCAAATAAACAAACAAAAAAAGTAGCTTGACTAAGTCCACTTGTGTGTTCTTCTTTGTGACTGAAACAGAGGATCATTCATCATAGTTTGTTTTTGTGACCATTTATTTGTATTCTGCTAAAAAGATGAAACAATCATTCATCATAGTCACATACATACTAAGGGAAAGGAAAATCCGCAATTACCCGCACTAATGAATGAATCTTTCATCACACCGTTTCATTCTCATGACTAGTCATTTGATCAAACAGTAGTAGAAAGAACATCCCCATCGAGCAAGCGACAAGAACCATTGATTGTAAGCACAATATCGAACCACTCAACTTTCCCCCACATCTCATCTCCATCACGCCTTTCTAACGCAATCTCAGCACACCAAACAACTTTTTTCACCGCATAACCCTTAGAATACACATAATCATCCCACAAAACAGCCATTTTCCCACCATGATCCACCATTTTACAGTAATCACGACGGCGAAAATCAGGCAATCCTTCACAACCATTCAGTGTCTTCCATGAACTAACCTTACAATCATACCAATTAAACACACCATCATACCAAAAGAACAACACGTCATTGACCACACCATAGCTATAATCTACTCCACAAACCATACCCAAATCAACTCCTATCGGTTTCCACTTACATTCCTTCGGATCATAAACCACCACACACTCATCTCCAAACAAGTACAATTTCCCTCCAATTCCTACATTCTTAACTTCACTTTCGCGTCTCTCGTTACTAGGGTTTGTCAAATTTCCCCAAGTTTGAGTCTTTGGATCAAAAACCTCGACCCAATTCGACGAATTCACGTCTCTGCATCCTCCTGCAACATATATCTTCCCATCGAGTAAACTCGATGACGGCGAGCTTCGCTTAACTTGCATTCTTGGAGCTTTGTGCCATGTGTTAAACCGAGCATCAAGAACAGAGACTCTAGAAGAATAAGGATACCCACCGATTTTGTAAATATTAGAACCAACGGAGACAATACTCGTGGACTGAACAGGAGACAAATGTGGAGATGGGATTTGTATGAAAAGATTACCACTTGATGACTTATCTTTAGTTATGGTTCGGTTAGGTTTCCGACAGAGAGTGAACCAGTATGTGTTAGGGTCATGAGGACGAGGGTAACGTAAGCATAGATAGAGACAGCTTTCTGTTCGGTTTATGAGTGATCTGAGCTCGTAAAGCTCCGGTGAAGTAACGATTGATCGGAAGTGTTTGGAGACGAGTGAGAGTATTGGGTAATACAATCTTGAGACTCGAGCTATGCAATTCAGAAGTAGATCGTAAGGAAGTGAAGAGATTGAGGTCGGTTCTGTTGCCGGAGACGGCTTCTTTTTGTTTCTCTTACGCGGTGGTTTTTCGCCGTGAGTGGCGGCGGAAGATCTTGCTTTCGACGACATTAAGGGGAATTTGGTGAAACAGATCGATCGGACAACGAAGAGGAATATTATTAACCAATTACCAATAACTTCGGCCCAATGGGCCAAAAGCTAGTAAAACTAGTTTGTGAATAATGATGGGCTTTTAATTTAGAAATAAGATCATTAAAAAGTTTAGTCCAATTAAAATTTGAACTAAAAGCAATCTGAAAACATTTAATTATCAGAAGACTTATTTTTGTTTAGAATTTCTTAGTTAACGTAATAAGAAAATTGAGTACAGATGGAACTAAAAGTCTTTAATATCGAAAACTAAACGCGTCCTAATGAAGTTTGTGCTTGGACTTGTTCTTTACACGATGTATAGAGGAGGGAAAATGCGAAGTTGGACCAATTCATATTCATACACAAAAAATTCAAATAGTCAAAATAACATCTTTTACAAACAAGTCTGAAGTATACGTACGTGTTTAATGAATTTACCAATTTCAAACTCAATATCTTTCTTTGCATGAATTCCAAATTTAACGATGTAAAGTTAGTGGACGTTCTCTACATATAAATACAAGAGCTAATTGTGACAACAACAAAAAAAATACAAGAGCTAACAAATTGCGAAATTTATTATTAAGAGTTTAAACCAACAAAAGAAAGTCCAAAAGAAAAATGTACGTGGTACGGTTAATAACTATGATTATTCTCTTGTTCTTTGCATCATCAATCACAGTTTTCGCTCGAGTGCCATACGATTACAAATCTCTCAATACAAGTAAGTTAATAATTATGGGAA